CGCAGCGTTATGGCCCTGCAGCCACAGCAGCACTGCTGTGCTCACCGGAGGTTCTCTATACTTCATTGGAGAGTTGCACTGTCTAGACCAGTGCTATCAGAGCCATTCTGAGAACAAAGCTCTGTAGATGGCAGCTCTTACTCAGGTATTTTTCAAGCTTTGACCTGGCATTTCTGCTTTGTTAATTTAAGGATGTCAGAGGATGCAGACCAACTCACCAGCAGCTTCATTGTAGTACACGTTGATTCTCTCCAGCTGCAGGTCGCTGTCCCCATGGTAGCTGCCAGTCGGGTCAATCCCATGCTCATCGCTGATCACCTCCCAGAACTGGAAGAAATGTTCGTGAAAGGCAGCTGTTCACTACAGCTGGCCGGTGCCAATCACACGCTAGCAGTCTGTGCGCACAGCCTCCCCGACCACTCCCTAGCATGGTTGAGCAGCTGCCTGGGAGGAAGCTGCACCTCCATGAGTCAGTGCTGAAGAGTTTCCTTTGGCTGCGGCAGCTGAATTAACAGAAGCAGCGCTGAGGAGGATAGACGGGCAGCTGCAGCACTGGAATTCGAGCTAATTCATTTTCAGCACGCATCCACGGGCTGACAGCACTCGCATACCCACGGTTTTGAGACTCTTCTATTGTCTAGCCATGGCTTAAGGCCGCCTATAACAGCCATGCTGTTCTACCGACACGGCAGCGTCACCGCAAGACGACAGCAGCCCCAGCACGCACCAGGGGCTGGCCGTGACGCCGCGCCCCTCTGCCTCAGAGCCGTACGCGTGGCTGCCAGCCGGCTGCGTACGACCGCGGACTAGAGCCCGGGCAGCCCCGCTGCGGTCGCGGATAACCCCGACGGAGCTACGCACCGCACCCCGGTGCCGGTCGCACGACCCTCGGCGGGCAGCCGAGAGGTGGCCCGTACCTTGGCGCCGATCTGGTTGCCGCACTGCCCGGCCTGGATGTGCACGATCTCACGCATGATGCCACTACCGCGCCACACGCCCTCCGTCACCTCCCGCACTCCGCGCTGCGGCGGCCGCGCCCCGTCCGCGCCTTAAATTGGGCGCTGCGCACCGCCTCTCGGTGACGTCACGCGGCGGCGGCGAGCAGCCAATGGGCGCGCGGGAGCGGGGCGGCATTGTCTCCCGCCGCGGGTCCGACAGCCCAGGGCGGACGACGGAGCCGCCCCTCGGCGCCGGGCAGCGTCCGCGGGACGGGGCAAGGCCGGGGACAGCTGGAACTCAGGAGTTGCAAAGGATTTACGCCGAGCTGCTTCTGCACCTGCTGGGTTCGTGCCCTTGCTTGTCCCTGCAACAGCAGAGCGTGCGCTGCTGCTTTTTAGCAGCGCCTTCCAGCCTGTATTTCTAGCTCAGGCCTGCTGAGCTACGTTTTGACACCTCTGAAACACAAGAATCATCGTTCTGTGGTTCTGACTCTTAAAACAAGCAGAAATTGGAGGACAGCCATGATAAAACCAACTCTACCAAAAATCTCATAAATACTTGAAAGGAAGCCACAAAGAAGATAGAGCCTGGCTCTTGTCAGCAGCACCCAGTGACAGGAGGAGAGGCAATGCGCACAACCTGGAATATCAGAAACTAAATGTAAACACAGGAAAAACTTCTGATGTCAGACACTGCTACTTGCTGGATGGTATCCTTGGAGATATCCAGAACTTTGGGTACTAATCCGCCCTGGTCAGTCTTCTGTAGCCAACCCTGCATTGAACTGGATGATCTCACGGGATACCTCCCCACTTCAACTATTCATTGATGCTGTGAAAGGGAGAGGAGTGGACCAACGAGTGAGACAAGTAATATCAGATTGATGGTTTATTGGTCCTAGCACCACACTGTGCTATAATGTTAAATTAAAATTATAGCAAAACGAGCAGAATTTTGCAGATGTGAGCTAATAGGTGATCTATTCACCAACACTTTCTTTGTTTTGCATTTGGCTGCTGTGACCTTTGGAAAATAAGGTGGAGATTTTTCAAATGCAGTCCTCAGTTTTCTTCAGTGTATGGATAAGCAAACAAACTGTCTCTTTTCCTTCCATAGGGCAGAAACCTCAGCTACAGTGAAATATCATGAACTGGCTCAAGCTCGGTAGCACATGGAATTACATGCTATTGCTTTTGCAACCACAAAATATCCAAGATTATACCAGCACTGAGATATTTTTTTTTATTTGGATTCTGTGTTCATTGTATCCTGCTATTGTATTTTCCACTGACATATTTTTCAGTACTTAATCACAGGCAATCTTTGTTACTGCTAGTGCAATTTGTGCATGTACATTTCTACATGCTGTGGGTGTAGCCTGCATTTTTTAGGCAGCCCCAGGCTGTTGCATCTTCTCACTATTTGCAGAGCTGCAAAACAGCTGTCCCTCTTGGCATCTCTATGGGATATACACAAGCATTTAAGAGCTTTTTGGCTGCCAAGTTATTCTTGGAAATCTACAAAGCAGCAGCTTTAAGCATTCTTACTCCCCATCTGAAGGTACCTGGACAATCCCTGACATGCCTTCCTCCCACATACATACAGTGGCTTCCTTAGAGCTTTATTATTATACTCTTAAGGATTTTGAACTTCAAATTCACAGAAGCTATAACACCCATTTCTTTGTTAAAACCTCACTGGTTTTTAGGAGTGTAACTCCACATTTAAAAAAAAAAAGTATCCACCTACTGTGAGGCTCACGTTTATGTTTCTAAAAAGTTCCCTTATCTACAGTAACGCTGAGCACTCACGAACACCCAGCAAAGAAAATTAAACATTAATTGCTTAAATATCAATGCAAAGTCCTACAAATAAACACTACAAAAAAACCCTTAGCCATCAGTGGCATTTAAATGAATAGAATGGTTCACTATAGCATTTTTAACAGGTTTTTGTTCTCAAATTTGAGGTATTTAATATCGCGAACAAAAATCCAAATGCCCCCATTCATAGATTTGCAGTGCCTGTGCGTAGGAACGCCCATGTGCCTCTCTGCAGCCCAACCACTGCTTGCAGCTCAGCAGCCAGCTGAACAAAACTCTACCTTCCCCTGTTTCCAAGGCAACCGCAGAGCCTTGGAAATGAGCTGCGCAAGGGAGGCGACAGGAGGCGACGGAAACCTTAGCGCATTTTAACGTATCTGTAATTTCCTATTGTAGGATGGAGGATTGCAAACACACAAATATGAGAGCTGCTGAAGCATACGCAATAATAGATTGAGCGTCTGCCTATGGCTTTATTCTCATTTACAAGGGGTGACAGCACGTTGCTTAGACAAAACGATTTTGTTCAGTCTTCCCATTGAAATCAATGGATTTTGCTCTGTCCATTAGCTTTTTGTCTGAATTCTATGATGAAAACTCTGAGATCACCTATCCAACACTTAATCACTAGCGATGCGTTAAGAATATTTCCCCCAGAAAGAGGATGGAATATTTGTGGAGCAATTTTAATTCTAGTAGTAAAATGATAACAAAAATCTATTTTTATCTCAGACTTACAACCCACTGCAGGCACTAAAAGCAGTTACACAGTGCTGAGCGCAGTTTTATGAATGAGCAAAAGCAATCTCATTGTAGAGCCTTCTGTACTTGTGCTTTTTTCTTAGACTGAAATTTTTGTGTTCGGCCAAGAACAAAAGAAGAGAGAGGATGAGCATGCAAGACAACATCACAGAACAATATGGGGCACTGTCAGTTCTGAAACAACAGTTCTCTTCTTTAAATAAGCACAGTTTTCCTCATGAACCTAATGTTTCTTCCATACCGTGGCTTCTCTTGGGAATTTGCCTGTAACCTCTGAGTCAGGAATTTGTTTACATAGTCCTAAAGGACACGACAGTCTCTGCTCATCTGGCTTCCAAAAGTTAACAAATACAAACATTATGATATCACTAAATGACTGCAGAAAGGGGAAAATGTGTTTATCATCACCAGGCACAGATTTACTGAGAAGGAAAGAGGCAAAACAATGCAGCCTCTCATTATTTCCGCTTGGCACACCAGATGTGATGGGGTAGCTGCCAGATGGCTCCTGCCCCCAGCCAGCCTGCATCCACCTTTTAAGATCACTCAGAAGATGAAATCTGTTTGCTATCTCTATCAACTAAGGCCTTCAAGTCAATATACAACTGATTCCAGCACCGATATAAATGAAGTGCTGCTATCATGTTTTCCAGGGCAGCCTATTTCCCACTTGTCAGTGGGAACAAGGAACAGACAGAAGCTTTGATCAGCTAGTCACTGTTTCTTTTGTTCCTCAGCCTCCTTGCTCTATCTTGCAACCCGATCATTACTTGTAATTCAAACCGACACTCAGCTAACTCTAAGCTTTATCCTGAGAAATTTCTAAGAGATGCCATAGTTTGTGGTGGGATGTAATATATATTGCTTAAAATCACCCCGGTTCTCTGCAGGAGAGAGCAGGGTGCTGTTGCTCCAGGTAGTTCCAGCCAACTAAGCACTTACTCTGCTCTCCCCTACAGATGCTGTTTTTTGCCTTCTCTGTACCAGTTCTCATTTTGACATGTTCCTTAATCCAAGGAAAAGCTTCTTCCCACATCATTTACCTTATCTAGGTGGTTTAGGAAACCAATTCATAGAGGAGTCAGACATGCTCCAGAGGGAATTAAAACCTCTAAAAGGAGGCAGTGGGGTAGGACTATGCTTTTCAGCAGCTGAAGGATAATGAATGAGCCCCATCCATGGAGCTACCCACTTCTGTGAGGAGCAGCTCCCTAAAAGTCCTGGAAGCATTTAATCCAAACTCACTCTATGGCTTTCTCCCTGTCCTCTAACGCAGAGCTGAAGTTTTCAAATACTAGTCATTCTACTAATTTATTAACAATAAAATCAGGATTATGCTGGATGCACAGTAGCAGACTAAGTCATCCTTGAATTTCATTTAATGCATGTAAAGCTTTTTTTTTTGTGAGGCCTTTTGAATTCTGCATGAAAACCCTGTTTAATTATTCACTGCGGAGGCAGGCAGTGTATTTGTCACATCCATAGAAATATGCTGAAACATTTTTCACTGCAAAACAACAGAAAGCTGTTTACTGAACAAACTATACAGCCTCTGCCAGGGTAGCCATTCCATCTCCTTGAGCAAGTGCTTTCACCTTCTTCTTAAGCTGAGTTACTAACATTTCTGTATGCAATGATAAATACACTCTTGACAAGAAAAAAAATGCCTTGAAATTATCAGATGAGAAGCCAAGTGATTAAAATAAAGATTATAAAAGATGATATATCATTAACTGGGACCCGTATCTCAGAAGAATCAAACATGAATAAACAGGAATTTAACAAAGCCAACTTGATGTTTTCTCAAGAGAAAAACTCCACCCGTTAAAGAAAAGTGGCTTTGAGTGGGAAGGATGGGAGGATCTAATCTTAAATTACTTTCTTACCGTAAGTAGATAACTGGTTTATAATACTCTAAAAATGAGTGATTTTTCTTTCTGGCAGTTGTAAATAAAATACTTGAAACTGGAGATTGAAGCTACAAGCAGAGAAACAGATTGGTTGTTATAAACCGCTCAGGCAGAAAGATGAGTTTATCACCTGCACTATTTCCTTTGCTGGTAAGAAGTGAGGGATTGGACTCCTCTCAAAACCTGGCCTTCAGCATGCATTAAAACAAATGCTCAAAGAGCTGCAGATGAGTAAGTGTCCAGTAAAGTCTAAGAAATGTCTTTTTCCAAAACACTCCACAGCCTCAGGCATTTCACTGTATGACCAAATGCTTCCATTTTGATTTCTGATGTAGGCAAGCTAAGGATAACAGCCATCTAAAATGGAAGCACTGACATGCAGTAGCATGCACTTTACTTTAACAAATAAAGAACAGAACATGTTTCTGGTGGAATATCAGAAGGCAGATGCTTAGTATGACAATTTGAGATTGGTAGGAGAAAAATTTGACTTTTTGATCCAGTCACATGCAAAATCGCTACAAATACTACAAAGGTTTATTTTTTACACAGTGCAAGTTGGGAAAAAGCCTCATGTAAGTTGCCTTGAGCCCCTAACACAGTCATGAGATTTGTTTAATGAAGATGACAAATGTGGAAAAAATGCACAGGAATATTGAGGAATGAGAAAACAGTGCCTCCCGTGTGCCAAGCACTACTTGTAGCTCCTAGCCAGGCTGCAGTGTCTGATCAGTCACTGAAAGTACAGGGTAGTTACACTTCCATGTGGAATGGAAAAGTAACATCCTTTGGCAGAAAGGGAGTGACTACTCCTTGTACTTGGTACACATGATCTCTTCAGGGAGAATTTCCATTTCCTCATCCCTTTAGCAAATAAGGTTTCCAGGCCCTATTACATAGAAAAATAATCCAGTAACTGAGACACCACCTCCCTGTGAAGCAGAACTAGAAGAACCTTAAACGAATATAATAAGGTAATTTTGTAAAAAGATCTCAATGCAATAACTATGAAACTAATCATACTTTAAGCTAGCATCAGGGTTCATCCTGATACAAACTTGTTATTCGGCTTACAGAGCAGCAAAAGAAGCAGGATGGAGGAGAACTCTTCCCTTCTGCATAGAATAGTATACTAAATGTTCTGGCCTTGTTTTTTGAGTTAAGAAAACCTGTTTCTCTAGGCACCACCACTACATTTTGCAGCAGTGCACTGCAACATCCATGTCACGTAAGAGACAGCCTGCTTGTGGTTTGTCCAGGTATGGGCACTTGCACAGATGCCTTGAATGATCTACTGGCACCATACTACTGTAGCATGGAGGCTACCATCCAGAAGCAAACTATTTCTTTAAAATCAGGGATTTTTGCCTCCACTTGTGAGGAGAATTAGCTGGAGAGAAAATTCTAGATGCCCCTCTTTCTTCAGGTTGTAAATCAAGAATCTTCATCTCATACTTTGTGGAAAGAAGCTTTTGTCAACAGGACAGGTCCCATGGATTTCATTCTTAGATTATCCTGGGACTACCCTGTATTAAATGCAATCCTATTCTGGTGTAGAAGGCCATCTCGTATGTTGAGTGAAGGAAAATTATTACTCCAAACTGACAGATTGAAAAACATCTGTTGAAAAGCAGATGTAGGGTGACATTCTCAGCACATACTTGAATGTTTCAAGCTTTTGGATACTAGATATGTGATATTTGTGACAGAAGGTATCACACCTAACCCATATACTGGACTATCCTTCCAGAACATTGTTTGCACAATATCTCAGGATCTGAGATCTGAGGTCTAAGACTGAGGTCCTAGAACAGGGAAAGAAAGAGTTGCCATCTCAGGTTACTAAATCCTAAAACTCATCCCATTTTTATTTAAAGTTGACAGCCTTATTTAGCTTTATCATCTACACCTCCACCTGCAGACAGTTGTTCTCTTGTAGCTTGCATTAGCCAAGATGTTCTGCTAACACCTAAAAATGCCAGACATCAAACAAAGCAGATGAAAGAGACAGCTCTCCTCCCTGACACCATCAACTTTAACTGTTGACAGGAGAGGATGCTTTCCCACAGGTCACCATTACTGCATTTAAATGAAAGAAACCATTTTTTGATAAAACCTCTCAACACAGATGAGTCACGTGGTTTAAACTGTACCCCACTGAGGCTGTAGCATCTACCATCATTTCTTCCAGAAAGGATGCTTCATGCAAGACCTTAAATCTTACAGCTGTTTATCACACGTATAAGAACAAATCGCCAGCTGATGCAGGTTAGGGCAATCAGATTATCGAATCTGAAATAGTTTCAGTGGTTCTGCTCTTCATGAAAGAAGTAGAGCTGTGAACACATGAAGATACATTCATCTGTTGCTTGGCATACAGCAGCCAGCCGTCAGTTTTTATAATGAATGGTCCCCTAGGTGGCAGATAATTGCAGATAATGCTCAAAGGTACAGCAGAAAAAAAGCAAAAAAAAAAACCCCAAAAAACAAACAGTTTAAAGCTTCCCTTTTAAATCTCCTGGTATCCACTTTTCCTGTATTATCCTTGATTCCTACTAAAGTTACGTGGGAGGTGTGGGGTTTTTTTGCGGGGGGGGGAGGGGGGAGGACTATGGCTGGCAAATCAGCTGTGTAGGATGGACATGTGTCTGTACCACTACTTATGGTTTCTCTTCCTCTAGGAAGTGGAGAAACAACAACGTCGTTGCAAAGAAAGCAATATAGGAAGGTGTCCTACCTTCTAATACAGGAGCTGTAGTGCAGCAGTTCTCTTGGGTAGCTATACTGAAGCGTTAGCTGAAGGTGTAGCCATTGCACTAAGAAAAAGGATCTGAACATGCTGAACAACAGTGAAACTTTAAGGTCCCACTGTAGAAAGAAGAATCCTTACTATCATTGTTAAAGACCAGATTCTCATATTTTTGAGAAACTGAGATTCTTCTGCAGCTTCCCTTCTCACCTTTAGGAATCAAGCTGTTTATGACAAACAGGTTCAAGCACAATCCAGTTGAGTAATTTCAAGGGAAGGTTACTGTGACAACCAGACAGGTTGTTATTTCTCAAAGGCCCAGGGGCAACACACAGTAACTCAGTGACTAGAACAACCTCAATTTGTTTAATACTTAATCCCAGAACTGCTCAAATTCTAAGAAATATAAGTGCTACTGTGAGTGCTGTATTTGTTTACAGACTGTTCAGGCATTTTAAATGCTTCTCACCTCTCTTTTCAGAATTTTCACCTGGAACGAAGGATAGAGATGAGGAAAGAAACAGTATGAAAAGCTTGTTGTTCTGCACACAATCTCAGATCTTACTGGAGGAAACAAGCCCATCAGCAGAGAATGGTATGCTCAAGCAGTACAGTCCATTAACAGAGCCAAAACAGGCAGATAATTAGTGCACAGTAGTTCACTATTAAGTCTTGATTCCAGTAATGCCTTCCCAGAGTTCCATTAAAGGATCACACAAGAGCTTGCAAATATGTGGATTGCTTGTCCTTCAGAGCAGTAAGGACCACAGTATTTGTAGCACTACTAATAGCTCTCAAAGTATGTTGTTTGTTTGGTTTTTTTTTTTTTTAAGCATAAGAGCCCTTCCCTAAGCAGTGTTGGGGGAACTAAGAACTGTAAGCTTACGTATGGGGTAACAACTATTCTAAGTGTAGGATTTTATTCTCATCCTGTAGAAGAGTCTCAGGCATTATAATAACTGATGACTATGCTGTAGGTTCACTACATATCAAATTCACCTAGGCTTCTTGTGACCTTTATGCACACAAAGACAAATCCCACCACCCTCACCATAAAGAAGCTGAGCTTACCTTAGCAAAGATGCACACGAGGATCCTGCTGCACTGCTCAGCTGCCTGGCTGGAGGTCCACTTCTTGTTGCAATTACTGAGAGCATCAAACAGCAGCAGTGTAAATACGTAATTGGGGTGTGAGAGACAGCTACTGTCAGGATATGCACACGACTACTCCAGGACCATGTTCATGCGCCGAGCAGCTTTGAGTCATGTTCCTTGGAAACCTGCCTGTCATCTCCTCCCAGGTCCCAAAGGGAATTGACTGCCCTGAAGGGCCATTCCCTCTTACAGAGAAGGTCCCACTTAGTGGCTGGTTTGTTGGTTTTTTTTTTTTGTTTGGTTTTTTTTTTTTTTTTTTTTTTTTT